GGTCACAGCGCAGTCCTGCTCGGGCTCCGCGCCCCCGCCATCCCCGGTCGAGGGCCCGCCACTGCCGCCGCGCTTTTTGTCCTCCTCCTTTTTCCACTTCATACGGCGATTTTGGAACCAGATCTTGATGTGTCTCTCTGTTAAGTTCAGCATTACCGCCAGCTCCACCCGGCGCGGCCGCGAGATGTATTTGTTGAACAGGAACTCCTTCTCCAGCTCCAGCAGCTGCGCGCGAGTGTATGCAGTCCGCGTCCGCTTGTTCTCCTCCGGCTCGGCCGCGTAGGCGCTGCCTGTGGACGACACAGCCAGTGAGTGTGGTCACGGGACGGCCCAGCCTCTATCACGAAACCCAACCCTCCACTGGGGCCGAGGGGCTCCGCAGCGGCTCCGCAGCTCCCGCCAAGCTGCCGAAGCCCAGCAAGTCGCTCGGACGCCAGAGCTGCGCGGGCTCTCACCGCCAGCCAACGCTGGACTCTGCCAACTGTTTTTTTTGTTTTTATTTTTCTTGTTTGAGACAGGGCCTCTATATGTAGTTTAGGCTGGCCTCGAATTCACCATCTTCCTGCCTCAGACCTACAGTTCTGGAATTACAGGTGTGCTCCACGAAGCCCAGAGAGCGAGGTTTGGTTCTTGGATGTTTTTGGGTTGATGACCATAGTAAACAAATAATAGTGGGTGAGCGCCAAACCATACGTAACCCCAGCATTCTGGGAGGCTGAGGCAGGAGGATAGTAAGTTCTAGTCTAACTTGAGCAACATAGCAACTTAGCAAGACCCCGATTCAAAAATAAAATAAGAGGATTTAGCTCAGTGGCACTGTGCCTGCCGCCAAAACGCAAGGTCCTGAGAGTTTCATCCCCGGTGCCAAAGTAAATAAATAAGTAAGGTAAAACAAAACAAAGAGATGGGGATGTAGCTTAATGGGACGGCCCTAGGTTCAATTCCCCACGCTGGAGGAGGGGAAATGCATATAATGGATGTTTTACACTGATTTCATTCTTTGCATGCCTTTAACATAGGATTTTAAACAGCCTTTCACAAGTTGAGCTGTAGCAAGAAATACATTTCAGATCACTATCCAGTTCATAAAGGAATATACTACTGACAGATGTTTCAAGGCATAAAACCAGCTTCTTCCATGTATTATGCTATTTTCCTCATTTTTTTCTTTTTCGTTAAAATGATAGTGATCTCAACCCATAAACTGATTTCACCACCCACTAGTGGGTGCAACCCACAGCTTGAAAATCCCTGTGCCTATACAGGTTATGACACATTTTGTTGTATCTGCCATATGTTGTTTTTTGTTTATATTGTAATCAACCCCAACCTGGTGTGATACATTCTCTATCATTTTCATTTTAACTGAAGCTTGCTGTCTGCCTGTGTGGAAAACCAGGGCAGGGTGCTGTTAGCCCTGTGCTCTGTCCTGTGCCCCCAAACCCTGGCAGATGCAGAGAGAGAAGGTGGGCGAGGGGGCTGGAGCCCAGCTTTGGATTGAGAGCTGTGGGAGGAGAGGTTAGTGGTGTACAAAGGAGCCTGCTAGGGGATCGTGGCTCCCAGCTCCAAGCCAGAGTAGCCTGGAAGCAACAGAGAGGCTGGGTGGAGAAAAGAGCAACAAGCAAGCTTGGCATTCACTTCATGCAGCTCCAGGTCTTTATTATTTCCAGGTACCCACTGCACCTGTGTTGTGTACTGTGGCTTGACATGCTCCACCAAAGCTCTCAGAATAGGCTTAAAGTGGTGGATCCTTAGGGCAGAGGTAGGAAACATTTCTCCTATGACTGGTGGCAAAGCCTTGAAGGAGCCCAAAGATTTTATGTGATGAGGTGGGGTATTAATTTTGCTATGGTGCCTGATCTAGTACCCCCAGGCCAAGAGGGGGCCGAATTCCTACTTAGAAAAAGCAGGCTGGCTGGGGGATGGGGGTGGTCCCTGGCCAGGAGAGAGGCTGAAGTGGCCTTAAGGTAACACCTCAAAAGGCCACCTATATTTGTTAAATTCATCCCACAAGGTTGCAGGATTCCTGCCTTTGACTGCCCCTGGCTGAGAGTGGAGACTGTTGGTGGGAGGAAGTCAAGAGATCTGAGTCTGGGTCCTTCTCTATGGCACAGGTTATAGCAGTTTAGGTGCAGGGCAGCCAGTATGGCTGAAGCCGCAGAGATTTGTAGAAATCTGTGTGGTTTTTAGTCACTAGTATCACATTGCTACTGCTTGTGTGAGAGCCTAAGGGTCACCTCAGACTTCTTCTGGAGTGAAACCCCACTGGGTGAAAGCAGATGAGTTTCCTAACCTAGAAGTTCCACCTCCTTTGAAAAAGTTTCCTGGAAGGATCTCCAGCTCAGCAGAGCCCTGCAGGTGGCTCCCAGAAGAGGGAAGATGAAACCCTTCCTAGCAGGTAAAATGTGCAGGATGAGAAGGGCCAGCAAAGGCCTCTCAAGCCCCCATAGACTTCCCAGAGGGAGGGGTAACCATACTAGGCTGTCCCTCACTCCCAGGCAAAGCTGTGGTTTTCCTTTCAGGAGTTTAAATTTTATCTTCTGTCTTTTGGGGTCCTTCTGAACCCAAGCTCCACCAGCCCAAGGGTGGATAACACCCTTTGAGGGAGGAGATAAAATTATCCCACCTCAGAAAACCTCTCTTAGGGCCTTCCTGGCTCTTTTCCCCCACCAGGAAGTCCCAGTTCAAGAGAGCAGGGGCCAGCGATGCCAGAAACTACATGCTGTGTGAAGGCAGTCCTAGTCCCTGGTCCCTGGAACCCTATTTCGGCCTACCAAGAATCCTGCATTTTCCAGAAACAAGAGGGAAGAGGCTTTGGGGACTGAAAAAGTATGCCAAGGCACTTCTACAACCTCTGGGGCCCTATCACTCTGGGTTTGTGGTTTTGTGGGACCTCAGAAACCCAATTTGGGCCCTGTCCTGCCACAGGATTTTTGCCTTAATGAGAAAGGGAAGTAGGAAGAGGGCAAGGCCCCGTTCCCCTCTATTCTTAGAGTCTCCTGGGTTAATGTGAGGCAGGGCTTTCTGCACAGACCTGGAGACCAGGTGCCTAGAATTGGAGAATTCTTGGCACACACCAGCTAGAGCATCTTTCCCCTGTTCCTGTCAGTTAAAGGCATAGAAAAGGCACCTATTTGCAGTGCAGGTGTGACCAGAAGTAGCTGCAGCACAGAAGCGATAACATTGTGTAGTAGCAAAGGCACAGGCCGCCCGGAACTCAGAACTCACTGCCAGTTGGGGCGGGGAAGAGACCAGGCTGCTGGGCATCTCTCCGCCTCCTGCGCCTCATGCTCTGGAAAGACGTTAAGTCCTGCACCTAGGGCAAGGGACCCTGGGACTCTCACTTCTTTGAGCCGGCTGTGCAGGTAGGACGTCTCCTTCTGAAAACTTACTTCCTGAGACAAGTGAAGAGACCCCTTTAAACAGCTGGTCAAAAATGGGTCTGCGCTTCAGATGCCTCTCCCAGCCGCTTGGCTCTGAGGGTAAGCAGCCCGTGTCAGCCTTGCCATGAGCCTGGTGAGCCCCTTGTTTAGCTCTATCCCCTCTCTGCTCACCTCTACCCCTACCAGGGTCACAGAACAGCTTATAGGATTTTTGAATGGTTGCAGTTTTCTTCTCCTGCTTTTTTGCAACCTCCAGAAGGGCCCTGCCTGACACTAACCCAGGAGACTCTAAGAAGAGAGGGGAATGGGGCCTTGCCTCCTCCTAGTTCCCTTTTTCATTAAGGCAGGACAGGGCCCAAAATGAACTTCTACAGTCCCACAAAACCACACACCCCAGAAGGCCTGATCTCCAATGAAGCAAGGCAAAGGAGGGGTCCTGGAGCTTGGAAGGTACCCTTTTGTCTGGATCCTGGGCCCCTGCTAGCTTATTTGATGCCCATTACCCAATCACGGGCTGCCAGATGTCCTGCTGGTGAAAGATCTAGAAGGTCCAAAACCCTAAGTAGTCTTCTGGGGCTAATATGGGCTGAGTGCACAGGGAAAGGGGTTTAAGCCCCTAGGAGGAGAGCTGAGTGGAAAAGTTGCTCCCACAGAACCTGTGCTTCAGAGCAGCTTGGCCTGGTTAGCTTTCTGGTATACTTTAGTCTGACCTGGTGTTATCTAAGGGGGATGGGGACTCCAACAAGGGGTGAACCTAGGGGTGTGCTTGGAGTTGGGGAGAGCTGAGCTCAGCGCCTAAGAAGAGGACGAGAAAGGAGCGGGGATTACCTGCCCACTGGCTTTTCCACGCGTGAGCTTTGGTGGACTTCATCCACGGGAATGGTAGTTGAACACGGCTGGTCTCTTCCAGGGCCCCTGGCTCCGTTCCATCTGGGAAGGGTCCGGCAGTCGGGTGAGGGAGTGTGAGCTGAGCAGGGAGGTGGTGGTGTAGGTGCGCCACCGTGGGGTCGTCGGAGAGGGTGGGCACCTCGTAAGGGGAGATGTCCGTGGGGCTCCCCTGCTCCAGAGCTCCCAGGGCGCCAGGGAACGTGGGTGGCGGTGGCGGCGGTGGTTGACGGCCCATATACAAGCACGCGGGAGGACTGGCACTGAACTCTGGCACCGGGCCCCTCTGGAACACACACGGGTCCTTATAAGGCTGCGTGGCTGCGTAGTACTGCTCCTCTCCATTCATGGTAGCAGCCCGGGGTTGGGGACCAAGATCCAGGACTAGGGAGCTGCAGTTAGGGACTTGGCGCCGTGCTGCGCTCCCACTTCCCTGCTCGCTTTGACAGCTCCTCACTGTTCTCACGGGGAACCTGTGGGCGACAGGGACAGGCCAACCGGCCGCCGCGCCATAGGCTCTGGCGCGCCCCACGTGGCTCAGCCCGGGGACATTATTGGCCTGCCCGACTGCTTAAGACTGGGGCGCAGGCACCCGTGAGCACCTGTGTTTGTTTCAATTTTCTCTCTCAGCTACGCACGCCTGTATGTGTAGCCGGCAGTGCCCTCTTCAGTGGTGGTGGGAGAAGAAAACATTAGAACTTCATTTTAGAGCCATTTTCATTATGGCTTAAGTTTCTATTTTTGTTTTACCTTCAGTAATGTACATATTATTACTTTATTGATATAGTGTATCAATAGACATATACTGAGGTTGCACTTTTGTTTGACGTTGCACTTTTAAAAAAAATTGTTGGAAAATACAGTCAGAGAAGTTTGTAGACCCAGTTCTGTAGATCGGAAGTAGTCATTTATTTCTCTAACTTGTGAAATCGGTTGGCACGTACCAGCGATGTCAGGGAAGGAATTAGTGCAGCACCAGCATTCATTGCATTGTTGTCTGTGCCTGTGTTCCTGGTACTTTTGGAGTGTGAACTCTGACTTTAGAAGCAATCATGTTTGTTTTTTTCAATTTTAGTTGAAGGGTATATTAATTTTAGTTTTAGGTATTGGGGTCCATCTGAACAACTCAGAATGTACTTTGCTAGTTGTCGGAAGAAGAAAGGAGCACATGGCTTCTTTTGGTTGGGGTTCTCAGGTGCTTGGTGATTCCCTCAGTCTGGGGAGCCCCGCTGGAGCGTATCAGTGGAGAACTTTCTCTTTTTTCCACTGGACTGAAATGAGGCGAGTGGGGGGAAGGGTGGGGTGCTTAGACAAGGAAATAAAGCTACTTTTGTACCCATGACTTTCTTGATTGGCTTCAACCCATCTGGTAACAGGCTGCTGATACTGATTTAAACAGGGTCACTTTTTCCTCACTCACTGATGAGGACCAGTTACCTTCTGTGGCCCCAGCATAGCCACTGGGTCCACTCGAAGTGACCACATTCCTCCAGCCACCTCGGAGGATTTTGGAAAACCTGGACACTGCAGAAAAACCTCCACTTGTGAACCACAAGCAAATAAGCAACAGGAACACTGCTGTAACCTACTTCTCCTAAACTACACATTCAACATCTAGACTTCTTCAAGATTTTAATGTCTTTTTTTTCCCTACTGGAAAGATTTGTGCTTTATATGCATCTTCTGATCCTTGTTTTAATTTTCATGAAAAGGCAGCTCGTGGCTGGGATGCCAGTGCATCCGATCTCAATGTTTGCCTAGGAGCAGGGAGAGGTATGCAGGAGTCAGGCATTGCTGATGAGCAGGCCTTCATTGAAAGCAGAGGGAAGCCAGGGCTGGCAGGAAGGGTTTAGGCGATTTCTTAAGAGAAAAGGGCCACCTGTGGTAATGAAAGGCCGTGGGACCCGTACACCTAATCTCTACACCCCTCGTCAATGAGCCCATTGTTCACGGTGGCTGCGGAGGACCCGTTGCTATCACCCTGGCCGCTAGTGACCACATCGATCAGGACAGGGCCAGAGGGGGTTGTGCAGCAGCATGTTGACCCTCAGAGATAATCTGCCCAGTCGCCAAGGGTTGACTTGGCGACCCGGTTATGAGCCGACTTGGAGCTTTGTTCGGAACAAAGATCAGCCACCTTCCTCCTCCTCCCTCCGCTAGCCACCCCCACCCCTGCTTTCCCTTTCTCCCTGGGACACCCGGCTCCTGGGACTCGACCAGGGCCTGCCCCATCCCTCCCCTGCTCCCTCCTTGCCAGCCACCCCTAGAGTATTTACTTTGCACTTCTCCTCTAATTGCATATTTCTGTAAAGAGGTCTCCATTTCGATGCTTCATTTGCTCCCATTTAATATTTTTTGCTCGGCCCTGCAGAAAGGAAAGAGGCTCTTAGCAGAAAAGTAAATCTACTCCCTGTGTGCACTGGCAAAAACACCGCGTACCCTGATACAGGGGAGGGAGACGCTGAAGGTGTTCAAAGGACAAGCGCTCTCACTCTTGCAGTTAGCGTTTATGGCTGGCTAGAAGAGGGGGCCCAGGAAACGAAGGTCTTATAGCCCTTTAGTATTACTATTCTTAGGTAGAACAAGTCTATCGGGAGTTTTTGGCGAATTATCACGCACAGACACCAGAAACGCGCATCAAGAAGAACCCTCGGCTGAGGAAGGTTTCAGTGGGTTTCAGTGCGGACCGAGCTTCTGGTATCATAAAGTCGCCAAATCCATTACAGGTGAAATGTGTTTCCGCTCTGACTCCCGGCTGACGCCCCGACGACGCTCCGCGCCGCCTGCCTCCCGCAGGCACCGCGATACCAAGCCATTAGGCGAGCGCCTGCCCGAGCCATTTAACAGCGCTCTTATGGATAAATAAACAAAAAAGGCTGTAAACCAATTATAGTGTGGACAGTGAAAAAGTCGTTTATTAGCTGGACGTCCTGATAGTCCTCACTGATATCGAAGATCCTCGCCTGCCCCCTTCCCCCTTTCCCTGCGCAGAGCCACGGTCTGCACCCTCTGAACGCGGGTTACCTTGTTCTTGGTAAGTGGCTAAGGCTTCCTCGGTAGTTTCGAAGGCACAACAAGGGCCGAATCCGGCTTGGCGATAAGAATTTTTAAGCTATTTCACCCAATTATGAAGGGGAAAAACTGAGCTTTTCTTAATTTCAAGGATACATTTATGTGGAATTTAGTTTACTGGAGCATGTTCATTTAAAAAGTGGCTCGCTGTTAAAAAACAAAAATTAAATCACATCCTGCTTTGAAAACTTCTGTAAAGCAAACAGTGTGATGTACTTAATGATAGCACACCTTTCATAACTGACCTTTGTTTTGTCTTGAGACAGGGTCTCACTAAGTAGTCCAGGCTGGACAAGAACTCATTATGTAGGCCAAGCAGTCCTATAAACTATATCCCTTTCGCTTCAGCTGGGATTACAGGTGTGCACCACCAACCAAGATTCATAATTGTCTTTTAAATTTCATTTCATTTTGCCATTTACTAGGGATTGAACTTAGAGCCTCTTGTGCTAAGGCAAGTGCTATACTACAGAGCTACATCTTAGTCTTTAAATTTTTAAATTTTGAGTCAGGATCTAGCTAAGTTGCTCAGGCTGGCCTCCTAACTTGTGATCCTCCTGCCTTAGCCTCCTGTACCTCCATACCAAACATAATTGACTTTTAACTTGTGTGCATTCAATGGACAGTTTTTTTTTTTTAAACAGGACGAATCATTCCTTTTTCTGCTACTTTTTGTAAATCTCCAGTTTAGTGTCTAGGTCTGAGAAGAGCCAAGGAAAAACAGCATAGGGGTGAAGGTGGAAAAGATCTGTCCCTTTGAAATAAAGGTTTCCATAAAGATACTGGGGGTCAAACTCTGGACCTTGCTTTCCAGGCAGGCAGTAGAACCAGTGAGCTAAATCCCGAGCTCCACCAATTCTTAATACAAAACAGCTGAGTGGATAGTTGAACTCATTTTCCACAAAATTAATTTTTAATTTTATGTATTTATTTTTTTTTGAGACATGGTCTAACTATACAGTTCAGTCTGGCCTTGAACTCTCAGCGATCCTCCTGCCTCAGTGCTGGGATTACAGGAACGTGCCACCACTCTTGGGGCATTTTCCATATAATTTAGCATCCCACCTTTGTACAGATAAATGCAACTAAAATTAAAAAAAAAATTTTTTTTTTGGTACTGGGGATCAAACTCAGGACCTTGTACTTGTGAGGCAGGTGGCAGAACCACTGAGCTAAATCCCCAGGCCCTAAAATCAAATTTAATTGAACAATTGTCTTATTCTCTACCTCACTGCACTCTGAAAGTGGAAGACGGAGTAAAGCAAGCTCTGTACACCTCACCACGTATGATGTTCAGTGCTTGCTCCCCAGGGGTGGGGCCTCCAGACATCAGCCCTACCCTCTTTGGATTTAACCCTTCCATCATCCTCAGTTCACCCTGTAGTGAAAAGGAGAAGTACTAAATAAAAGATGAGACCCCAAAGATTTCAGGTTGCCTCCTGCCACTGCCCTGCAGTTTTGGACCCATCCCTCTGGCTCCCAGCTTTGGTTCTTTCATCTAGATTTGAAGATGCCAGAAATCCTAGCCCTTGTTCCTTCATATTTAAGTCCTCAATAACCAGCTTTTTTATGTTCATTGAAATTTCCTTTCTTTGCCTACTATCCCTGTCCTACTGTTTCCTGTGATTAATTTTTGTTCTCCTGAGACTCTCTCAATACCTCCCAGTTCCTGCTACAACTCAAAGAAGCTTTAATCCACACTACTAGGTCTCTTACAGCCTTTTTCAACCATCCTATATTTCACACAATATATTGGCTAATTTGTTGGTTAATAATTTATTGGTTTGAAGGGCTAATAATTTCATTAGTATTTATTGATCAAACAGAGCTCTTACTGTGTGTCTGCTTGCCATTTATTTGTGTGACAACTCAGGAGTACAAATATGTTCTAGCTTTGGTATGGAATGGAAAGCTCTTTAGAGCTGCATATGCCTGTCTTCTGAATCTAGTTTTGCCACATGTAAGTGACGTATCCCTTGGCAAGTTATATAATGTCACTAAGCCTCCTTGTGCTTATTTTTAAGACTGAAATAACACCATTGCCCCATAAAGTTGCATCTATTATATAGCAATACCAGGAAACATGGAGCCAGGCATCATTTCAAATATTTGACATGTAACAGTCCTCACAAAAACTCTGTAAGCTACATACACTTGCCCGTATTTTGTAATGGAGGAAACAGAGGCACAGCAATGTTAAATGACTTGCTGAGAGTCATTCAGCTCGTAAGTGACACATTCTAAATCCAAGGTGAGGTAACTTTACTTTTAGAATCCATTTTGTTAGCCATTATCTTGCTACATAGCAATTTTCAACTCAAGAAACAGTTTTACTTTTTTTTGATGAGAATTAGATGAGCCCAAATGTCT